GAAAAATTAATGGCATTTTTAGAAAATATTCCTCTCAAGAACCACTGGGCCAGGAATGATGAATCTCATGTGGAATCATCCTCAATCATCAAGTTTGTACAAATCAATACCCCGGGTGTAGGGTGGAGCCAAAATGGCCGATCAAAGTTTAACATAGGAATAGAATATAGGAAAAATCTTTAAAATCTTCTCAAGAACCACTGGGCCATGAAAGATGAAACTTATATGGAATCATCCGCAGGTAGCGTAGATTCAAATTTGTTCAAATCATGACACCCAAGGATAGGTTGGGGTCAACATGGCCGATCAAAGTTTTACATAGGAATATATAGGAAAAATCTGTAAGAATCTTCTTTTCAGGAACCACTAGACCAGGAAAGATGAAACTCATGTGGAATCATCCTCAGGAAATGTAGATTCACGTTTCTTTAAATCATTACCCCCGGGGGTAAGCTGGGGGCCAAAATGTCCGATCAAAATTTTACATAGGAATTGTAGGAAAATCTTTTAAAATCTTCTTCTCAAGAACCACAGAACCAGGAAAAATAAAACTTATGTGGAATTCATCCTCAGGTAGTGTTGATTCAAGTTTGTACAAATCATGACCCCCAGGAATAGGGTAGGGTCAAAATGGCCGACCAAATTATTCATTGGAATATATAAGGAAACCTTAAAATCTTCTTTTCAAGTACTTTAAAGTCTTGATTAGTGATATTTATATGGAATCATCCTCAGGTAGATCAAAGTTTAACATAGGAATATATATAAAAATCTTTAAAAATCTTCTTCTCAAGAACCACTGGGCCAGGAAAGATGAAACTCATGTGGAAACATTCTTAGGTACTGTAGATTTACATTTATTCAAATCATGACTCCAGGGGGGTGGGGGGTAGGGTAGGGCCAATATGACCGATCAAAATTTTACATAGGAATACAGAGGAAAAACATCTGTAAAAATCTTCTTCTCAAGAACCATTGAGACAGGAACGATGAACTCATATGGAATCATTCTCCGATAATATAGATTTAAATTTGTTCAAATCATGACCCCCGGGGCTAAGGTGGGGTCAAAATTGCCGACTAAAGGTATACATAGGAATATATAGGGAATCTTTTTAAAATCTTCTTTTAAGTTCTTCAAAGTCATGATTAATACATGTAATATTTATATGGAATCATCATCAGGTAGTGTAGATTCAAGTTTGTTCAAATCATGACCCCCAGGGATAGGGTGGGTCAAAATGGCCAACAAAATTTAACATAGGAATATAAAAGTCTTCTTCTCAAGAACCACTGGGCCAGGAAAGAAAAAACCCATGTGGAAACATTCTCAGATATTGTAGATTCACATTTGTTCAAATCATGACCCCTGGGGTTAGGGTGGGGCCAATATGGCCGATCAAAATTTTACATAGGAATACAGACTGAGGAAAAAATCTGTAAAAACTTCTTCTCAAGAACCATTGAGACAGGAAAGATGAAACTCTTGTGAAATTATCCTCAAGTAGTGTAGATTCAAATTTGTTCAAATCATGACCCCCAGGGATAAGGTGGGGTCAAAATGGCCAACTAAAGTTATACATAGGAATATATAGGGAAACCTTTTAAAATCTTCTTTTAAAGTAATTCAAAGTCATGATTAGTAATATTTATATGGAAATATCATCAGGTAGTGTAGATTCAAGTTTGTTCAAATCATGACACCTAGGGATAGGGTAGGGCCAAAATGGCCGATCAAAGTTTAACATAAGAATATATAGAAGAATCTTTAAAAATCTCAAAAACCACCGGGCCAGGAGAGATGAAACTCATATGGAAACATTCTCAGATAGTGTAGATTCGAGTTTATTTAAATTATGACCCCTGGGGGTAGAGTGAGGCCAATATGGCCGATCAAAATTTTACATGGAAATACAGAGGAAAAATCTTTTAAAATCTTCTCAAGAACCACTGGGCCAGGAAAGATGAAACTCGTGTGAAATTATCCTGAGGGAGTGTAGTTTCAATTTGTTTAAATCATGACCCCCTGGGGCTAGGGTTGGGTCAAAATGGCCGATCGTAGATATACATTCAAATATATAGGGAAACCTTTAAAATCTTCATATCAAGTACTTCAAAGTCATGATTAGTAATATTTTTATGGAATCATCCTCAGGTGGCGTAGATTCTAGTTTGTTTAAAGCATAATCTCCTTCGGGTTAAAATTCACGCCCCCTACCTCAGAAAACTTTCGGTTCTGATCTGATATTTGCGTTTTCCTAGCCGATGTGCTCTGCTGAGCGCTGTGGCTCTTGGGCCTCTTGTTTTTTTTACTTCCAATGCCATTTTTGTGAAATTTTGAATTAAAATTTAACACTACGCGGTTAAACTTAATCATTTTACTCACTAAAACAACACCCCTCTTGTTATATTCAGACTTTTTGACAAAATTTTTTGCATCATCTGTCCTCAACATAATAAACACAAAATGACTGATTTCACTTACGTATGTATTTAAAATTACTAAAGAATTAGCTATTTGGTTTTAATTTATTGATTGTATTTATTTCATTAATGAAAGAAATATTGAAGATATAACACAATACAATACATTTTCCTTGGTTTTCGCAGCTAGGATAAGGCTTCCCGTAAAATATAAAACTGCTCAAACTGTAGTTACTTCTTTGAACTACCTAGATTTGACGTCATAATAGAGTATGACGTCAAGTCACTGCATACTTGAGCTGACATGACGGGGAAAGTGTCATGATAATTACATGCGCATGTAGATTTATTTTGGGGACTTCTTGTTTAATTCAAGTGAAAGGATTGTCTTTAAGCTCAAGTGTGCCGTTATAATGATAAACATTTGAAATTTAAATATTCCTATTCCTTTTGCTTGACCGATATGCACATATTCAAATGATAGCAAAAAAATTATGTGTGAAACGCTCCCCTTACATGTCCGTATAATCGTGTTTATATTGGACTGGTGCAAGTGATTAACAAGGACAAAATTAAGATATTCTATGTGAATCTATAAGAGATGCATATCTTCTAACTGAATTTTGGGGATTGTGTGTAGTTTATCCATTTTGGTATAAATTGCTAAAGAGTGGAAATACCCCTTCTTATGTTGCTAAGTTGAATTTCTCGTAATTTTTTTTCTATACGAGTAAAAATTAAACCTGTCCCCAGCACATTCTATGTACCAGAGATCACAATGAATTGATCTATATAGCAACCTTTGAACAATTTTTTTTTGTTTTGCACTTGTGCTAAAGCATTTTTTGTGCAACAACTAGGAATATCATAGATCTCTGTCACATGATCAACACATTCATGTGACATCACAAAAATGCTGTAACATAAAACCTGACTAAATTATTATATCAAGTCGACTTCAATTTCAAACAAGGATTACATATTAAAATTAAAATCAAGCTCAAAATAAAGATAATTGAAGTTGGTTATTCTTAAAATTGAAAGACAATGTCAAGAACTGTTAATTGAAACACAGAGCAGATTTCAAGATTGTTGTTTATTTTCAATAAAAATCTATCACATGTATGAAGATGAAGCCAACGTTATGTAGATATAATTTTGATGTTCAAGTAATCTTTAGAAAGAAAGGCTCTTTTGCAGTTGATGTCTTTAGATATACAGCCGCTTCACTTACGCAATGGAATCCTTGATGTGTCTTTGTATGTTCCATGTTGTTGGTAAGTTGTTTATTTATTCGTTTCTTTGTTTTTAACGTCCCTCTGGACTATTTGTCACTGATTTGGAGACTCCACCATTTGACAGTGAAAGCATGCAAATTGTAACCTAAACTCAACACTGTACACTATACCTTACACTAAGAGTCATTGAGCAGTGAGAGATCTTTTTCGTGCCAGCACCTTCTGCAAAACGGGACCCTGGGTATACTATCTCATCCAAAGATCCGGTACCACCGTGGGATTCGAACCCGCAACGTAAGGATCAACTCCTTGCGCCTTGACTTTAAAGCAAACTGTCTAAGCACATCCCCACGAGGGCAATGGTAATTTGTAATGAAAAAAATATCAGACACAGAAACTGCAATTGCATATATGTGTCTTGCATTAGAAAAGTTGTTCAATATCTTTTATTTTCTTTTATTGCAAACTCTATCCTATCAAACAATGAACGATCTTTTATTAGAAAATATAAAAGACACTTACGAACTACGAACTCTAACTCTTGATTCCCGCCTTCATTTTGCACCCATTACATACAATATTAATGGAAATTTGGCCATTATATCTTTGTTTAATACAAAGAACAGTTCTATGGTAATTGATTAATCATTTTAATTCCAGCAATTGATAGTATATCATCATTAATTCTACTTCTTGAAGAAAGGGGGCAGACGATATTTTCTACTTAAATCGAATTTTCAATAAACATCATATTTTGAAATAGTTTTAAATATGATAAAATGTATCTCATATCTTTTCTTATATTTTACATAAAAAAATAAAACAAATATATAATATATTATATACGAATATACAATTATTTAGTTGTAAATAGCTTTAAAACTGGTGAAAAATTAGCATTTTTATTTTCGTTTTCTGTCTATAAACATATGCCCCCCCCCCCCCCCCCTTGTGAAACACAAAAAGCTTTGGCATAAATTTGTAAAATGACAGTCGATATGACCTGTAAAAATAAATTTTAGTTTCACAGGGGGGGGATGTTTTAAAATATTTTCCGTTTCTGTTGATTTCTTTAGTGAAAAACAACAAGTTTTACCAAATTATAGAGTTATCCTTCTTCGGTATGCCTAATAAGTAACGTTTTATGAAAATTCATATAAATATCTATAAACTTTTTTAAACTCAGTCGAATATGTTAACTTTTGAGAATTGATTTAGAGGTAAGCGGGAGAACAATACTATCGTTCGTAGTTCTTTATATACTTCTTAAACGTCTTTGTTTTATATTAATTAAATTTTAAACATACTTAAACATGCAAATATATATAATATGTACAGGTATTGTGTTTTCTTCCACAATACATTGTCCTTTGAATGAAACTGAATGGATAGTCAGATCGAAAACAAAATTATGCCAGGGATCTGATGTCTACCATTGCTTACTTGTTGAGGATGGGAAATCCAGAAAAGAGAAATGTATTGAGAAAACTCTCATTTTGCAAGGTAATCAACAGTTATCATTTTTACCAAAGGATTGATAAATTGTTTACCTTAAGGCCCTTTCACAATTGGCGCACGAGCAGAAGCGACAATATTTTCGCGCGACCTGATAATTTTGTCTAGGATCGTAAACTGTTGCCAAAATAACCGCATATGAAAAAAGTGTTCGTACGAAATGCACACGTTTTAAAGCGACTGTTGTGCATTAAATCTTGCGATATATCTTGCGTCTATATGCGACTGTTGTAGAATGAAAGCGAAAGTTGTAAGATAATGCGATAGGATTGTACGACTGATCAGGTAATCGGACGATTGAACGTGCGACAATACGATTGGACGCGCGGTGCTCGTGCGCTCATGCATTACATAGTACGAATGTTTGTGCGAGTCAGAGGGCCCGGTATATATACCAGCCGTTTCCGACGCTCTTCAGTTGAAATAGTTAAGATGCTTATAGTTATACGTGGTATATATACCTGTTGCAAAGAATGGCAATTGAAGGTGATAAATCAAACAATGATAGTAAAACGTTGCAAGATCACATGAGACATACTGAGCAACAGTCTCATGGTCGCAAAACACACGCAAAGACAGCTGCGATTCATCTTATTACGATCTTTAAAAATCGTAAATCACTGTTACGAGTACTTAAAACGTTGTAAGATGTTCGCACTAACTTTCGTGCGTTGAATTGCGATAGTTTGGATCGCATTTGGTCGCGTCTGAATAGTGTGCATGTTGACTATTTTGAAGAGACGTGATGCGACCACTAAAACACATGCAGTGAATGCGAGACATCGTGCAACGTATGCAAGAGCTCGTGCGAAGCTTAAATTTTCCGATCGCAAAGTGTTGTAAAGTGCTCGTGTGCCAATTGTGAAAGGGCCTTTATGTTTCACTTTTATAATAATAATTGTAATTGATGATTTTACCCTAATTATCCTGTATACGGTCTAATGACATCTTTTACAAATTAATATTTGTTTGTTTTTTTTCTGACCATATCTGATTGATGTATACACAATGACTCTGAGTTGTTTTTATTTCGAAAAATATTTGGTACAAATTCTAACGATCCAAAAATCATTTTACTATATACTTCTTTTACATTCTGGGATTAAAGCTTTAATCACAAGTAGGATTCAATAACAATTTTACCTATCCCATAATAAAAATAAATTACTGTCTTTTAGTAAAACTCTAAAATTTTAGTTCAGTTTAACCTTGCTTATCCATTTCGTATTAAATATTGAAGAAAGGTTATTTTTTTTTATTTTTTAATTGATAGTAAACCAACTTCAGTATTTTAGTAATTCAAATACATGCAAACTATATTCAAAAACAGAAACCCTGGAAGTTGGAAAAATTACAACAATCTAATCCTATTTATAATATCGGATACCGAGAAAATTTACATTACTTAAATATCCTATATCAAAAACTCTTTCTCGAACGAAAAAACACAATTGTTTTCAAATTACTATATTCCCTCCCCAATTACATTGCCAGGGGAAAATAAGATTACGAAGAATTAAAATTGATACCCTAATTACGCTTTTATTTATAAATGAATTTGAAAACAGTTGGATGCACATCACAAGACGAAAGACCACCTTTAAGCAATCGCTTAATGGGAGCTTAATGGTGACTTAATGGTGGCATAAAGAAGTTAATTCCTTTAAGCCACCATTAAGCCACCATTAAGCTGCAACTTACAGGTGCTTAATGTCCAAACTTCATTAAGCTACCATTAAGCCACCATTAAGCTGAGCTTAATGGTGACTTAATGGTCAACCCTCATTAAACTTTTACACATCTTATATAGAATCTTTGAACTAACTTTTTGTTTTTTTAATATCATTTACGCAAAAATATATTCCAACTCATAATTCTGTCTCGATCGATCATAATTTCTACGAGTTTTTTGTCAACATGAATAAACTTGATCACTGGGAACAAAGTTAGCTAATAGCCACAGGGGCTTGCTCGAGGTGTCTAATTTTTTCTTAAAATCATTTACAGTGATAATAAAACAAGACATCCTGTATCAGAACCGTATATTATTTTCTTTAAAATAAATCATTATTACATGCGTTGTTTTTATTTTTAGTGTATATGATTTTTAAAAATAAACAATTTTTACACACCGTGAGCAAGGCCTTGTGAAATATCTTAAATTTACAAAATCAAAAATCATTTTTTTCTTAAAATTATCTATATTCATGAACACAAAATATACAATACTTTTTAAAAACAAAATGGTATTTTTATTTCATGTGTTAAAAGAAACATTCCGTTACAGAATTCACAGGAATATAACTATATAATCTCATAAAAAAAAATCTCTGTGCTTTTTTTTTTGGGGGGGGGGGGGGCTACTGGATTACAAATGTTTAGTTTTCAAAGATTGACTTTTACCATGAAAAACTTTTTAATGGCTTTTACATCGATATCATGAATAATTCTAATTAATTCGTTATTTATTTTTTTTATAATGAGCTGTAAGTATCTGTCAAAATCTAGTCGGTCTTCAATGATTGTTATTTCAAAATCGATTTTCAGAGGAACGGCCGATCAAACTAAACATGACATCCGACAAGATGTATACACATTAAGAAACGGGGTAAGATTAACAGATGATCAGTGTACAGTAAACCGACTGGTGAGACGATAGACCTTAATTAGGTGTCCCCCATCCCCGGTTAACTAACAGGAAACTATACATACACAACGTACACTGACAGATTTTAAAGATCAATTATTTAAAAAAAAATTAATTTAACGCAAGCATATAACAAATTAAAAAATTATGAATCATCGTAAAAAGTCAATTATTTTGATACCCATTATGATACAAAAAGATTTGAAACTGAATATGATATGCTAAAAAAAGTTTTTGTAAACTTAATTAACCAGGTAACTCTTACGCGAGGATTGTCACTAAATATTGTTGACACAGAAACCGTTAATATCCGCAGTATGTTAAATATAATAGTAGAATTTGTTTTTCCTCTTTCTTTTCGATCATAGGCTTTTGTGTTTTATCTATAATAAATTTGTTTTCAATCATGATTTAATACATTTGAATTTCGAAAATTTTCGAATAACAGAGCGAAGAACACAATCACATTACATCAATCTAAAGCCGAACTCAGTGTAGAAATATATATAAATGTGTTAAGATCTACAAATAAAATTGTTTATATTTTGATTAATTAATCAATTTAAGACTTTCAGAAATGTTCAACTAAACACTAGTAAATACCTTTACAAGTCCAAACAAATTTTGCAAAAAATAAAGTTTAAGTATTTAATATTTTGGATAGCCTTATGGATAAGGCGTTCGCCTTGCAACCCCAAGGTAACGGGTTCGCGCCCCGACTGTGGCGTTTTTTTTTTTTTTTTTTTTTTTTTTTTTTTGGATTTTGAATTTCGTTCTTTTTCATTATTTTTACCTAATCAAGATATAAGCGAACTCTACATTCATAACATTGATAAGAAATCACTATAAAAATAATTTTTCACCCATATAAACAATATTATGGACTGCGTAATGTGACTTAATGGTGGCTTAATGGTGGCTTAATGGTAGCTTAATGGTAGCTTAATGGAGTTTGGACATTAAGCACCTGTAAGTCTAGCTTAATCGTAGCTTAATGGTGACTTAATGGTGGTCTAAAAGTTACCATTAAGGACCTGTAAGCCACCATTAAGCTACCATTAAGCTACATTTAAGCATCCATTAAGCATCCATTAAGGACTTTGAGTTGGCTTAATGGTAACTTAATGGTGGTGTTAATGTTACTTAAAGGTGCTTAATGGTGACTTTATGATGACTTAAAGACAACCATTAAACCACCATTAAGGACCTATAAGCCACCATTAAGCCGGACTTAAAGGGTGTGTTTCATCTTGTGTATACGTTCATCTTTAATTGCATAAATCATTTTCATAGTTCATGTTTTGAATAAAAAATAAACTTATGAATAAACACATAAACTGTAGTGCTAACCAATTATTATTCACGTAATCTTTTATTCGCAAATTTTATCTTAACACCTTCGCGACTGTGAATTTCTACGACTGGGATAGCATTATACATAAATACACAATAAAATGATAGGTTTGCAACTAGTTATACTAGTAGATAGCGAAACCTGCAATCCATAATTTTCTCACATGTGAATACCTGTTTGAATATAGCACTGTATATAGTATTGTTAAGCGAACAAGCATTATTCCTTAAAATAATTAATTAAATCTTATTTACAATCTTTTATTAGGACACTGTCCAATTTTCACAAAAGATGACTATCTGCATTGGATGACATGTAATACTACTGGCTGTCCTGATACTGCCTTCAGGAGTGACGAAGTTTACAAATGTAAGAAAACCCGCAGTGTGTTGGATGGCATATCAAATTGCAATATTTATAAATGAAAGCATCTTAATTTTGATGTACGATATTGAAAAGAAATTTAAATAACTGATAAGAAAATATGAATTCTTAATATTTTTTTTTCTTAGATCCAGTCTGTTATGGATATATCGATGAGAAAAACAATGCTCTTGGAAATCGACAATTAAGGTATTTCTTTATTTCACATTCATGTCAATCAAATTGTTAATTCAAACCACAAATTTCGACCTATTTATATGCAGTATTGACATGCATAATTTATTTCAATTTATCTTCTTATTATTTTACTGGTACAAAATTACTGCTATACTGAAATACATGTATCTACTTACTATAATGATACCATGACAATTTCTACAGTAAAATATATGGCACTGAAGTTTTAACTACGAGAAACTTTGATTGAGTGATGGTTCAACAGTGTAACTCTAGTTTAAAATATTACCCCCTTTTTATTTCATAAGGATTAAATTTTCTGCAGTGCATTTGTCTGAAATCGTATAAGGCTACGTCTAGTACAAATCTAGTACAAATACAAGTGTCATATTTTACATTCATATAAGGACCAGTCCTAAAGTAACTTCAAAAATGTTACAATATTTTCACTAATACAAAGTCAATTGAATCTCAATATCTGACTTTCGACAGAGAACCGTAATTTTCCTAAGATTTTTTTTTACATTACGTTTTACAATATAAAAAAATAAATATAAACTTGTATCATGTCTGTAATCAAAGCACAAATTTACAACAAATTTATGGAGGTTTGTCATGATGGCCATTTTCAATTCATTCAAAGATCCAACGTACCTCTATACGTGTATAATATCTTTTATGCGCTTTGCTTCTGTGAATTATTTATATACCAATTAGAGCTAATAGCAAAAAGGTATATGTCACTTGGACATGTGAGATACGTTTAAGTTATTAAACTTTTTTTCCAAAAATCAATAATAATTATAATAATAATAACACAATAAAAAAGGAAAATTTACATGCACGTTTACTTTTAATGATTTAAAGTGCTTATACATGTAAGAACAAAATGAAAACAAATCTCTTTAAAAATTTTATAAGAAATATAATTTACATATCTGTGCCATTTTTTCTTTTCTTTTTTCCAAATTTGATTTACCACAAATCCTTTTTAAATTTAACATAACTTTGTTTTTTTCTTTTGAAGCGAGGATAACACCCTTTCTTTAAAAATTGGCATACCGATAGGGTTAATTGTTGTCTTATTGGTTATCATCATCATGGTCATAGTAGTAATGAAAAAGAGACGAATAACGCTGCCTTGTGAGTATTATTTTAATTCACATGTATGTTATTTTAGATATGATCTTGTTTCTAAATTCTAAAATAAAAAAAAACTGCAACATCATATCCCACTTTAGTTTCATTTGACTAAGCTGTTAAAGATATCAGCATGGAAGATAACTTACTAGAAAATTACAATAATTGGCTGTTTCCGTTCTTTTTCTTCGCAAAAGTTACACATCTTGAAATAAAATCTGGTATATAGATTAAAGATGACGTTTACTCAGATATAAAGGCTACATACTTGTAAATGTTTAAAACATTATTTTGCAAATATTATATTTGTTAAAGCTTATAAATTATTTCAAATACCGGGGTAATGGAATGCTATGAAAAAAACAGAAATTCAAAAATATGAACAAAAACAATTCCAGACAGATATCTAATAATTTGACATAATCTGCCTGAACCATACTTGCATGGATGATGCATCTAGAAAATGGAACACCACCAGACTTGCTTCGGATGCTGGATCTGACCTATATTTGCATTCCCAAGTAACTATAAGCCCTGCGTGAACCAAATTTGCATGAATGATGCATCTAGAGATGGACACTATCAGACTTGCTTCGGATTCTGGATCTAACCCATATTTTCATTCCAAAGTAACTATAAGCCCTACCTGAACCAAACTTGCATGGGTGATGCAACTAGGGATGGACACTATCAGACTTGCCTCAGATGCTGGATCTGACCTATATTTTCATTCCCAAATAACTATATGCCCTGCCTGAACCATACTTGCATGGATGATGCATCTAGTGATGGACACCACCACACTTGCTTCGAATGCTGGATCTGACCTACATTTTTATTCCTTAGTAACTATAACCCCTACCTGAACCAAACTGATCAAATATTATGCACATACGAATTTTCATGTTGCTTTACTAATATATCCTTGGCGGGGCATTCATGTCCTATGGACATATTTCTAGTCAGATTTAGATTTGATTCATATTAAGACACAATTGTAAATTAAAAAATTTCCATTTTTTATAATAGTACATATTTTTTTTTTAATTTATTTTTGTTCTTGCAATTGAATTATCAAATGTGATCCATTTAATATGCATAATACAATTAAATGGATGTAAATATTTTCTCTAGGTTTCTCCAGATTCGGGAGGAACAACGATCCAGTCAATGATCATCGTCAATCAGAAAAACTAATTAAAAAAGATGAAGAAGATAAACGTAAGTGTAGCAATCCCATATTATTTTTTCTTCCATTTACATTTTTGGTTCAAAGAAAGCGAATTTTCTTTTTCTTGATATAAATAATACATACGAGGGCCGTTCAAAAATTACGCGGACTTGTTGCACAGAAGAAATATTTGACCACATAATCGGGCAAAATTTCACAAATTATATAAAGGAATCTTTACTTATATGGTCTTGAAAATTTCACATCAAAATGTTGTAAATTGGTATTATTTTTTAGTGATTTTTTAAGAAAATACCATTAAGTCACGGCGCAGCAAAATCTTCGATTGCGCCGTACCTCTCCATCAACGATATCAACATACCGATAATTTTAGTAGAATTTAAAATACAGACATTTTGCCGTAAATTTATTGGAATCTTTAAGATACATATTTCTGTGACATTTTATAACTATATGACGTCTTTAAGAGTAAATAATAGCACAGTCTGCGTAATTTTTGAACGGCCCTCGTACTATTGATAATAAAAGCATGCATTAAACACTAAATTGTCGATTTTTCCGTCATGTCCCAGTCATGACAAGAGGCACAAGGCGAGTCTGACCGTTTGAAAGGGGATGCTTACTCCTCCATGGCATCTGATCCCAGCTCTGACGTTTTGGAGGTCCACATTTGCTCTGCTCATATTTTGTATTGTTTAATGGACTTTAAAGCTTAAATGCTGTTCGTTATCTCGATGTATTTCTTTTCAGCTGAGTACATTGATATTGGTGTTCGCCAACTGAATTCTAAAAAGGTAATTTATGTTATTGGACAGCTTGGAAATTCTGTTTCCTTTGCTGGGAAATTAATAACCGGTGCATATAAAAATTATCCTAAAAGCGATGCATATGAAAATTGTACTACATGGAGTCCCAAATACTTTAATTACTTAGATTTTTCTGACAAGTTTTCCAAACTTTCCTTTGAAAAAGTTTTTAAACCTAAATCTGTGAATTTCATTGATGGATGGGGTGGACTATGGAATGAAAACCCATGCGAAAGGCAGGAAACTGTGGAAATTCTATCAGAAATTGTTAAGCAAGTCGAAACACATAAAGATATACGATTTGTAATTGGGCTTCGAACAGAGATAAGAGATAATTTAAAAGGACATTTAGATAGGCTTGGGATTCTAATCAAAGAGAATGAAAGACAGGTCCTAGATTCTAGCTCTGGCTACAAAATACGAACCATCGAAAAGGAAATAAAATCCCTTGAGAGTTCATGTTCAAATAAAAACTGTGATTGTAAAAATTTGTCCTTTGATCGAGTTTCGGAAATAAATTTTGTACCTATCGGAACATATCTAGTCGTAAAGCTAATGAGACTGGATCACAAAATGATACCAGATTTTTTCAAAAAGGATGTAGGGCCACTGGAAGCAGTTCGAAATCATTTTGAAGAGCTGATGGAAGGTGAAAGAATCTGGAATTGGCTCCCATATATCGTTTGTGTGGGCTATCATGACAAAACGGAAATTAGACAAGAAATAGCAAGTGCATTTGACATTCCAAAGAGCACACTGTCCAATTGTAAAAATATTAATGAATACACAAAGACAGTGGACAAAAATGAACTCGCTCCGATGTGGTCACATAAAAAGAATCTAGTTAAAACTGAAGACAACAAGAGAGAAGGAAACGTGATCGTGTTTTGGCATAACTTTCTTTATATATGCGCCTTTCATGCATGCTACAAAAAGTATCCCCAGAAGATAATGCGACATTGCAATCTTGATGCAATCCTGCAATTGGTTCGCCCTAAGAATCAGTCTGAAGCTCTCACCATTGAGGCAAGCAATGAAGAAGTAGACCTGTTTTGCGAAGAAAGATTAAGTAAATTTGGGAATGACAGCCTCTTTTTGGAACATCCGTTATTTCAAGACTGGGCAAAACGGAAAGGAGAAATACACAGAACATCTTGAGCTTTCCGAGCTTAATTGGCAGAGAACTAATGCTTATGTGACTGCTGCAAACTGTAAGTAGATTATATCATCCCGAAAAACATCGTTGTTTATTCCCTAAGAGCACATTTTATACTTATTTTTAAAGGGGAGTTTTCGACCAATGCATGTAGTCATCAATAAGTCAAAATGAGAAAATTTCACAACAATGTGCACAAGTATGAGAAAATAACCCAATGATCATTTATAACAGAATGTTTCCCCTGAACTAAAGGATTTCAGTCAAAGTAATATCAAGCTGTGCATATAATAAAACTTTCAATGATGACAGTTTGGCAACAATAAATCATATATGCTCAAATATTACTTAGTGTTATGTGTATCATTTTTTTGTGTAATCCACTTTGTGTAATTTTTTCAGAGACCTATCATGAGACATAGGGATCCCATATGCATAAACATGATTTTTTTTTTAAGTATTGCATACTAACAGTAACTACGCAGGTTATGATGACATTTACTTATTTTGAGGCTATTAAATTTCAATGTTTTGTTATCATTAGGCCTAAGAATTTATTTACTGTTTATTCATATTAGAACTCCTTTAGCAGGAGTCACCTAGACGACTTCATTAATCAACCGCCATAAAAAATATAATTATGGATATTATACATGCATGAATCTTTCCGTATATCATTCATGATAACCATTACCCTTGCGGGAAGGGCGGGGCCACAATAGCTGATCAAAACCGAACATATGAAAACGTTAAAAAAACTTTGAAAAATTTTCTTCTCAAGATCAGAAAAGCCATGAATGGTGATATTGATATGGAAACATCCTCAGTTATAGTAAGTTTAAGTTTGTTCATATCATGACTCCAGGGGGTAGGTTAGGGTCATACTTGACAATCAAAGATTTACATAGAAATACATAGTAACAATATTTTAAAATCTTCTCAAGAATACAGGCAATGCCATGGCATGATTAGTAATATTTATATGGAAGCATATTCAGGCAGTATATAGTTTCAAGATTGTTAAAATCAGAATTCTTGGGGGTAGGGTAGGGACACAATGTGCGATCCAATTTAACTTAGGAAAATATACGAAGATATTCTAATTTAAGGGTGTGGCCACAATGAAAATCAAAATTTTGCATCAGAATATATAGGAAAAAATCTTCTCCAGAACAGAAAAGTTTTGTTTAGTCAAATTGACATTTAAGGTACATTGATACTCTGATAAGAGAGATAACTCTTTATGACAAAAATGTCTATTTTTCCTTAAGTTATAAATTTGTCAAGTTTAAGTTCCTTTTTGTCATATTTTGCCCCGTAATCCATGCTATATTTGTTTGTATTTTATTCAGCACATAAATTTCCTTTGGAAAATTATAAAAGTTAAATAAAAATTTCATATGAGTGTTTTAGTCATCCAACGAAATGTTAAATTAGCGCGATTTTTCTATCACACTGGGTGTAAAAAATGTTTTTGGAAACTAATTATAAATGTCTGTATATGAAACTATATTTCATTTTAAAACATGATACATGATTGATCAATTTTGTAATTTGTTGGAAATACTTAAGTTATTGTAAAAAGTAATATCCATGTACTTGTTCGACTGATAGTCATGATCACCGCATCTGCTTATATTGGTAACCACCAATATTTAAATTATCAAGTGTGATACCATTAATAATGTTACAACATAGCACTTCCATCCAGATTGAAAATATACCACACAATTCAAGTGTGCATTATTGTACGTATTTGTTTACAATTAATAATGTTTATAATTAATAATGAATTATGTTTCCACTTGAAAATGTTTAAAAATCTTCAAGTTCAACATCGAAAAATTATTTAATACCTACATGAATACAGAATCTTTGACGTATTATTGTAGAGATGTCTTTAATCTAAAATGATCCTATTATTAGCTACAAATCCCCTTTATCTTTCATGATCTGAGATTTTATGTGAAAAAAAAAATAGAATTTCACAATGATCATCTAAAAAAAGTTTAACCGATAATGTGAAAACAAACATGTGACATTACTTTCTTCTTGTCAAAGTCTTTTTTTATTAAGTGATGATTTTTTAGCCTCCTCCAATTACAATTTTCCCCATTGATATTTGAAAGATAATATATTTATTGATCATTGATCTTCATAATAACAGTTTACAATGTATCATTTCTAGCCTATAAAACGACGTTTAAATGTTCATGTGTAAGATGCTATGTTGTGTGAGTTTGTTTCATGGTTCAGAAAATGTTAGCATTGTCAAAGGTTATTCAAACGTATCTCCATCTATTTTGCTAGTTTTTTCAGCTTAAAAGACATGTAAGTGTCATTTTATTTGTTGTTTGTGAAATAAATTTCTTAAAATGTTTGTGCTCTATGTTTATATTTGTGAAAAAAAGTTTCAAATAAATTTTCTTGGGAAATGCCTCAGCAAATAAAAATAAAAATGAAAACTTCGATGGACATAAAGACTTAAAAGCACATTGTCTGAAAGTTTGAAATTCTCCTCGTTAGAATCTGTCTTTTGTGATTTATAAAGCTACATCAGTTTTACTTCGGTAATTGTGTGTGTGCTTATTTGAGAAACAGAGAGATGAATTATTGGTGAACATATAAAACAGATTACGATTTTTCTTATGAGTCGGTAAGTCAGTGTCAATGAGAACATTGTACTTTAAGGCTTCATTTATAATTGAAAAAAAAATGAGCAGCATAATTAATGGCATGCTAAAACTTGTATTAATTGATTGATTGTATATTATTTAACGTTCGTCTCGAGAATTTTTTACTCATATGGAGTCGCCACCACATTCCGGTAGAGAGCTGCAATACACTAATGCGACACGGGACCTCGGTTTATAAGGTCTCGTTCGAAGGACCGATCTCCTCGTCCCAAAATTCGCAACTCGAGAAAAAAAAATATAGAAAAATTTCAAAGGGGTTTTACAACGTTTTTAGGTGGTTTTACTACATTGTAACTATAAAGAACTAACAAGGCTTTTAAGAAAAGTTTCACGCATCTCATTTCAAAAATTGTACATTGCCTTCTAAAGGATTGTTACTTTGTATTCTTTTTAAGAAATTGTATAAAGTATTCTAGAGTATTGTTTGTAACTAGAATTTTGAAACTATCCTTTAGAGAGATATTTCTTCATTGTTTAGCTCTTTCGCAATATTATAAGTAGCTTTTTTGAACATATTTACTGTTTCATTATCTTTTCACGGGAATAACAATCTAGAGCAAAAAATATTAAAGTTTAGCTCTTTCCAAGGAAATGATAGTATTTTCTAGCGGAATTAATATTACTCCATAAAATCTGTTCCGGGGTTTAGTTTATATTTCCGATTTTTTTTAATTTGAAAACTTTTTAGTACGTTTAATTATTCGAAGAGACCTTGAGGTGTTTTAAAATCATCATAAATTGGTCTGAAATCACTAATCAAATGTTTGGGGAAAATTCAAATTAAAAAATTTCAAGGGATAGTATATTTAAAAATACAAAAAAATAATCAAAAATTAACATAAAAGAAAAAAAACAAAATCAAATACGAGGGTCATTCAAAAAATACGCAGATAATCTTCCTCATCGTCATATTATTATTACAAGATTATAGAACAACATATTTTCGTACATGTAAATAAAAACATTTATTTGTCGATGTGTGAATTTTCATTCCATTTGATTAAATTGAACTCATGCCAGCCAATTTTTAAAGCAACACATTTTGTTACCATGGAGCACGGTTAACCAACATTGTAACGTCAAAACAACGTTGAGAAAGTTTCTCAAAATTAGTCGGCTTTTAAATTTCATTCACAGTTTGTAGGATCTTCTCTATTCATAAAAACATATCCATATTTACACCTAGTTTGCTAAAAATTGTGCAAATTGCTTGAACTAGATTGTCAGTGTTTTCAAATTCCTTAGGCCTACCGCGGAACTGTATTATTTCCGCAGCAGAAAAGCGCACATCACGTTTAATGACGTTCCTAATTCTTTTGACAAGATTTTCAACTATAACCTGTTTCTTTGCAGACCACCCATCGTCTGATTCGCTACAACTCAAAAATTGTATTTTCCATTTTATACAAATACACGGCTTATTTTCATCCATTTCTTGGTTTAAGCAGATTTTTTTTAGGTGTGTTAAAGATGTTTCTCGAATGGAAAACAAAATTTGATTGCTACTCGCTGCTCCTTGACAACCTCTAACGTCACTTTTTTTTTTGTTGTTGTTGTTTTTTTTTAATCAAGTCCATATGTATTTAGAGACTGATACCTTTTGACTGATTACACTACTTGATATAGCATCTTAAGTAATACAGCAATACTGAATTTAAACATGTAAATTTTATTTTCTTTCAACTCCATTTATTCGAGTTCTGGCTATAGATACTATAACGTGAAAATTAGAAAATAACTTAATTTTGACGAATTTTGACCCCATCATTCTAAATCCTTGATAATTTGTATAAATATGAAGATATATTCCGATATCTGAACTCAAATTATTTGAATTAGTTGTTAAGATATGTATACCAAATTTGGATATAATATGACGTTAAATAACAAAGTTACAAAAGTCTACGAACTTTTTGAATGACCCTCGTATAATTTATTACAATTTCCGAATTTGCCGGGAATTAAGCATAACAAGTGTTGACAAAAGCTGTGTATGGAAGGGTTGCAGAGCGATAACTCTCGGTATAAATTGATTTATCTACTACATATTTATACAATGAAGAGTGTTAGCTGAAATTTATTAACAACCGGCTTTATTGGGATATTTATTTATTCTCTTATGAAAAAAAAAGTTTAAAATCATATACGCTATATGAACGCCGAATTTTGTGTGAAACAAAATGATTAATAATTTAAAACACATGAAGAGTAATGAAAAATAATGCTTTCCACAAAATTGTACTATAGGTGTCGTTGTAATAACAAAACAATTAAACAATATCTAGGAGTTAAGAATTCAGTTTTTTCATGAATATTGATGAAGGAAGTGCGTAAACAGTAGACCTATATATAGAAACACATGTCCACGGGAAATCACAGACAACGAGGTATAGTTGCATTTTGACAACAATTATAAATACATGTATAAGGTTAATATGCGTCATAATAGAGAAGATGTTTGATACTGAATACATTAAAAAATAAGTACCATTAAGTGAGACGCTTGTCATCCACGTCAAAAATGAGTAGTATCTCAGACTGCCTACCTTGTTTTCTTTACCAGTAGCGGATCCAGAAA